GAAAACTAATACAAATTGTTTTGGATAAATGACCTAGATAAGGGAATAGAAGGGGAACTCATCAAATTTGCAGATGACACAAGGCTGGCAGGAATAACCAACACCCCAGAAGACAAGCTAGGATCCAAAAAGATCTTGACAGACTTGAACAATGGGCCCTATCCAACATCATGAAATTTAGTGTGGAGAAAAGCAAGATTTTAAACCAAGGCAGGAAAAAACCAAAGGTACAAGTACAGAATAGGCGAAACCTGGCTCAAAAAAACAATAACTGTGAGAGAGACCTTGGAATCCTAGTGGACAGCCAGCAGTATGCAGCAGTAGCCAAAAAAGCTAATACAATCCTTGATTGTATAAAACGAGGCATAGAATCAAAATCACATGAAGTATTATTACTGCTTTATAAAGCCTTAGTAAGACCACACCTGGGATACTGCACCCAGTTTTGGTCACCACAATAGAAAACAGATGTTGAGATTTTGGAAAAACTGCAATGAAGAGCATCCAAGATGATCCATATTGTTTTACAGGCTGCCAAGTGAATCAAAGTTGAGAAATGTTACAATCAAATAAAACAAAATATTTATAGTTAATAAACCATTTACAGTCTTTCCTAAATCCTCAATTCTAAGACCTTTCAACATATACAATTGTCTGCCCTTTAGAAACTTATTTTCTCTCTCTAAGATTCCTGCCAAGAATGTCTATATGCATTTCCTTAATTTTCCTGGGATATTCCTCTCTTTGTTTCTTTCTGAAATCTAGTATCTCCTATCTGTTTGCTCCATTCTCCTTTGCTTTGAATGAGAGATCAATCAGAATACAGCTGGAAGGGACCTTAGAATTCTTCTGTCCAACCCCCTGCTCAAGCAGAAGCCCTATACCAGTGATGGCGAACCTTTTTGAGACCGAATGACCAAACTGCAACCCAAAAGGTTTTCTTAAAAACCTTCAGGGATGAAGCACTTACAAAAGGCAAGTTGTTCCATTGGTTAATTGTTCTCCCTGTTAGGAAGTTTCTGCTTAATTCCAGGTTGCTTCTCTCCTTGAATAGTTTCCATCCATTGTTTCTTGTCCTGTCCTCTGGTGCTTTGGAAAGCAAGTTGATCCCCTCTTCTTTGTGGCAGCCCATCAAATACTGGAATAATGCTATCATGTCCCCCTAGTCTTTCTTTTCTCTAGACTGGCCATTCCCAAATCCTGCAACCGTTCTTTATATGTTTTTGGTCTTCTTACTTCTCACTCCTCTTGTGACTGACAGATATGTGAGCCAATACTGTAGTTGTCTGAAACAGCCTGTCTTTGAATCATATTTTTTAAGCACTCCATTCAGGTTTTCAGAGGCTTTCTCAACCTCTTTGCCATCTGGCTTTTTTTTAAGCCATCAACTCCTGAACTTTTCAACTGATTGCTGTAGTGACAGGACAGTCTCTAGAGACTTTGTTGTTCCCTGATCTAGTATTCTCCATCAGACGGGTTGCAACCTGAATTAAGATTGGCCACAAGGACAAAAGAATATCCATACAAACTATTGGGTAAGTTGTTGAAATAATTGACCAACTTCCTTGTGGTAGATGACTCAGGCAGAGAAGGTGGAGGAGAGCCTTATTAGTCAATAGTAGTCCCAAATCAAAAAGAGTCTGGTAACACCCGTTCACACTTTAGAGAGCCTTATTGTGCTGTTGGGGAAATAAGTCATCTTCAACAGAGGACAAATGCACTCCCTGCATTCCTCTCAGTGCTACAATTTTCTCAATAAGAAGCAGAGATTGCTGCAGAGTCCATTTCTCTGCCTCCAGAGAAAGATAGAAGAGCTGGAGAAAATCAGCTGCAAGTACGTACAACAAGTTTTCACTTGATTTTACTTGTTTGTAACATTTGTATCTGTGTCTTTTTTATATGCCTATATGTAAACTGCCTAGATCCATTTAGATGAACTGGGCTGTGTATAAATTGATAAATAAATCAAATAAATATATATTCTTCCTACAGAAATGATATTGTGTAGCTGGTTTATTGCTGCTGTGGTGGTTTCTTTTCTTTTTTTTGTGTATACTCCTCCTTTTTTTCGTCTTCTTTTTAACAGCAATTTCATAACGGTAATCTTCTATTATTTACATTCCCCCCCTTATTCTTCTTTAAATATATTTGTCCTTGTTGTCCCGTTGTTTCTTGTTTGTATTTTTCTTCCTTCATACTATACCTCATACTAAAAATAATACATATTATTATTACTATACATTATTATACACACATTTTCCACTTTTGACCTTTCCACATTTTTTCTCATTTATTATTTCTAATCTCCAACCAGTTATACCACTTATTCCATATTAGATAGTACTCTGTGTCTTCCTTTTTTTTTTATCTCTTTTATTAATTTGTCCATCTCAGCACAGTCCAGGATTTTTCTTATCACTTCTTCCTCCGGTGGTATATTCCCACTTTTCCAGAATTGTGCGTATACTATTCTTGCTGCCATTGTTATATGTAGAATTAAGTACCGTATTTCTTTACTATATTTTCTGTTTAAAATACCCAGCAGAAAGATCTCTGGTTTCCAGTCTACAGGTTGGTATATTATTTCTTCCACCCATCTTCTTATTTTAGTCCAGTATTTTTTCGCAACTGGGCATGTCCACCATATATGATAATATGTTCCATGTACCTTTTTACATTTCCAACATGTTGGCAAATTGTTCTGGAACATCTTGACAAGCTTTGCTGGTGGAAGGTGCCATCTGTAAAACATCTTCAACTGGTTTTCCTTGAATGCCGCAGACATAGTCAATTTTATGTTTGTTTCCCATATTTTTTCCCATTTCTCCAATTCTATATTATATCCGAACTTTTTTGCCCATCTAATCATTGTGTCTTTAACAACCTCGTCTTCCATTTTATATCTCAATAAGTATTTATATAAATTGCTAATTAATTTTATTTCTGTTCCATGTATAATTTTATCCAATTCTTGTGGCTCTTTTTGTATTTCATATAATTTTTTGTCCTCTGTATATTTAGATTGAATTTGTGTAAATGTCCACCAGTCGATCTCTCTGCCTATTAGATATCTTTGTTGAAATGGCAACAGAAATAGTTTCTGAACTGAAATTTTAAAATCTATTGAGGGAAAAGTTAGGGTTTTTTTCCCCCTGTCTATGTCTATGGAGATTCTCAGTCATCCAGGTCATGGATGTCCCAGAGGTGTTTTTTTCAAAAAGCAATTGGACTTTGTTTTTCCTTGAAAATGTTTCGCTTCTCAGTTTCCCCTGGATGATCCCAGTCTTAGACATAAAGAAAAATACATAGTTAAAGTAGCCTCTGAGAAAGGAACACAAGTCTAGAAGCAGATTGATAGTGAGATTATCAGCACGATTCTGCAAACACTTTCCAGATCACTAATCTGGTAAATTGTTCTCTGGCTTCTCTTAGACCAAGGAGACAAAGGGAATGAGTGTTTTCTCTCTCCGTCTGAAACATTTCTTTTAAGAATGCACATTTCCAGCAGATAAATTGTTTTGGTTTTTTTCCCCCCACTTTTGTTCTGCTCTATGTAACTGTTTTTTGGTGATACATTGGTTTAAATAAAAGTCTTTTGGTCCTTCACTGAGGATAGAATCGTGATGTTTGTGTATAATTCTAGCATCCCAAAATAATTCTACAGTAATCAGCCATTTCAAAAGAATCTACTAACATATCTTGAATTTTTTGGCTTTATAACCTACATCTTGAGTTGTCTGATTCTTTTCCCTGTGATTTTTTGATGAAAAAGTGAGACCTGGAAGAAGAATGTAGCTTTCATTCTTCTTCTTCTTGTGCCATATCCATTATCGGATGTTGGCGATCATGTTGGCGATCCTGTTTTTATCATCAGCTGCATGAAAAAGTGCTGCTGAGTTTTGTCCAAACCAATCCCTTAGATTTTGAAGACACAATGTTCTTCTTCTGCCTGGACCTCGTTTATCTTCAATCTTTCCCTGGAGGATTAAATGGAGTATGCCGTATTTTTCTGGGTGTCGCATCTGAAATATTCTAATTTTTGTTTTTTAATTGTTTTGATGATTTCCCTTGGCTTTCCCAGGTGGCTTATCACCTCCTCATTTCTGATCTTGTCAACCCAGCTTATACATAACAGCCACCTGTAAATCCACAAAGCTTTCATTATCTAGACAAAAGGGTTGTTTTCAGTGGTGGGATTCAGCCAGTTAACACCAGTTCGGNGTAGCGCCCAACTAAATGATGTTCACACATAGTTTCTTGAAAACTACTTCTGAATATTAAAAAGTTAGGTATCTTACATGGCTAAGAGCCTTGGTGCAGGAAAACCTGCCAGAAGTAGAGAGCTGGTTATAAATTAGACTTTATAACCTCCAATATCTAGGTCATACTATATCATATACCAAGCATATATTAAATGTCTGTATAGACAAGCCTGTTCTACTGCTTCCTTCTCCAACCAGCTACATATGAATCATTATCTAAAACAGATGTAACTCTTCAGAACTCAAATCCAGAAACTTTTTGAAATCAGAACTTATAGAACTGCAGAACTGCAGAATTAGAAGGGCTCATTTAGGCTATCAGGTTCCACCCATTATCCACTGTAGGGAATACAAAATAAAGCATCTTCAACAGAGGAATGTCTAGTCTCATTTGAGCAGAGTAAAGGAGAAACCATCCCTCTCTCTGGTGAATTTGTTCCATTATCAAACATTTCTTAATAAGATTGAACTAGAATCTGCCTTCTAAAATAACAATCCCATTATTTCACATCCTGCTCTATGAAAGGTTGATGACCAGGCTGATGACCAATTGCTTGAATATTCTGACTTGATGAGGAACATATCTAATCAAGCGTCATCACTAGCACTTGATTAATTAAATTCCTCATCATGCAGGGATATTTTACTGGGTTAATACATTTGTTTATAATTACGATACAAAGAAAACAATAGAATATTATTTTGCATATTACTGGTTGATTATTTAGAATGAAATACCTTACGGAAATAATCTTCACGAAGCCAAAACCCATCAGCCCACAAGGTTCCAATGAGAGGTAGAGCCAAAGGACCAGGAGGCAAATGTCTTCGGGACCAGAGTTGCCTCAGGAAGAACAAAATAAGCAGAGCAAGCAGCAAAACAAACAAAAATGTTCCCATCACCATCATTGTCCTGCTGGTTCTTTATTTCTCTGATGGGAAAAGAATAGCAACATGTTGTTTAATACTCTGCCTAATCAGTGTTGGTACTTTGTGAGCACGATGTTATCTGATAACATGAGCAAGGATGAAATTATAGGTAGAGAGCTATAGGTGTTTTCAAATACTTATCTAAAAATGTTCTCACCATGCCAGTTGCCTAATCCATGTACACAATTGAAAATGATCCATATTACAACTTCAGCAGGAACAATTACCCAATTCTGAAGCATCATGAGGTCTGGAAGCACAGAGGTTAGAATAGGGCAGTGGTGGTGAACCTATGGCACGGGTGCCAGTGGTGGCACTCGGAGCTCTCTCTGTGGGCACACGTGCCGTTGCCCCAGCCTTGCTCTCCCCCCGCGACCCTCTTCTCCCCAGCAGCCCCCCTGAGGGAGACTCGCCCTCAAGCATGGCCCACACGGAGCAGCACAGCCAAGGACATGGCAGCCAGGCAGCGTAGACAAGACTCTGCCCTCACACCCCATCATGCAGTTGATGCTGCAGAGGGTGTGGCCGCCATAGCACTGCTGGGCTGCCTGGGCGATCTGCAGAGGGCAGTGGTGGTGAGTGGTCCTGTGGGCAGGTGGGGTGGGGGATGGGGGGGCAGAGCGGGGGTAGACATGGAGGGTGGAGCGGGGGCAGGGCCAGCTTTTGGGCACTTGGTCTCTAAAAGGTTCGCCATCACTGGAATAGGGCATTGCAGGCAAGTTCAATCCTGACGGCTTCAGGTTGACTCAGCCTTCCATCCTACTGATGTTGGTTCAATGAGGATCCAAATTATTGGGGGCAATATGCAATTAATGCTTCTACATTGTAAATCCTCCCCCCCCCAAAGAATGCTGTAAAGCTTTATGGGTGGTATAGAAACTTAAATGCTATTGTCATTGCTGCCACCTTAATTTGGGTTAAAAAGGTTATTTCTGACCATATGCCCCACTAATAACATCTCTCCGTGGGGCTCTTCTGAGTGGCTTACGAAAATAATATGGGGGGAAAGAATTAAATCAATGTAAACTTAGCAATAGCAAAGGAAAAAACAATACAAATAAATAATGGAATAATAAATAATATGAAATTTTAAAAATGGGTGGAAGGGGAGCAGAAGCGCAGGAGAGAGAAGGGGTCAGCTAATTAGTAGTAGCCACCTCCAGTGATATTGGGTCACTGTTGGGTTCCCAGGCCAAGCAGCACAGCCAGGTCTAAAGACTCTTGCAGAAGGATAGGAGGATGGGAGCAAACCTCACCCTGGGAACAGGATGTTCCAGAGAACTGGTGCTACAGCAGAGAAGATTCTTCTCCTGGATCCCTTCAGTCAGAGTTCCTCGACCAATGGGATCCTCAGTAGGTCTCCGCTGCCAGCACAAGTACGGTGGGCTTGTCTTAGTAAGTTGAGATGGTTCATCAAGTAATCTGGATCTATGGTTTAAAAGGTCATAACCAACACCTTGAACTACACCCAGAAGCAATGTGGATTATCTATTCAAATCCCAATCAAATCAAATCAGTAGGCCAAGAAAACATTCAAACCAAGAGTTGTTGGTGTTGCTCAAGATGATATTGCACCACTTAAAATAAGCTAAGTCTTTGAAGTGACTGTTTCAACACAAATCACCCTCCCAAATGCACCAGTCATTGAAGACATTGGACATACCCTTGTTGACTGCAAACTCCACTTTGAAGAAAGAACTGCTTATTTAGATTCTTATTAAAAACTAAAAAAAGTACTGTACAAGCTAGGAGAATCTGTTTTCCTTTTTGTAGGGAATGGACCTGCATATCCTTATTAAGATCACACTCTGTGTCAAAGGTCATTTTGTAGAGAACAGAATATTTAGACCAGATTAGGGTTATCTGCAGGAGGAACAACTTACTAGGAACACATCCTCTTGTTTTCTTTGTATCTATTAGAATATTTGCATTAGTTTTACTTTTTGATATGATTAAATGACTAAATCAGTAAAGTTTTTGTTCCGTTCCATTCTGAGATATTTTGCATGATGAAGAATACGCAGTTCTGAGAGCAGAGCAAATTTATCGTATGGAATGAGGAGCTGGACCAGAGCTGGACCAGAGAGAATGCGGGAACAGTTTTGAATGAGATTAAATACCTTCAGCAGCATGAGAAACAAGCAGTTTTATTTTTTCTAGATGCAGAGAAAGCCTTTGACCATTTAATTAAACCTCTATGTTCAAGGTTTTAGAGGATATAGACTTTGGATAGAAATTTATTCATCAAATTAATTTATACATCTCAACATATACACATTTGCTGTTAATGGTGTTGATGGTGATTTAAATAAGGTGTGTGAAATCCAAAAGGGCATGAGACAAGGATGTCCTCTGTGTCCACTGTTGTTTATTTGAGCACTGGACATTTTCACCAAAGAAAAATCATGGGTATAAAAAATTAAGAATGAAACGTATAAACTGAGAGCTTTTGCTGATGGTTTAGTTATTTTTCTGCAAGATGCCAAAAGTGGTATGGAATATTTGATGAAGAAGCTGAACAACTTTGGAGGTTTATCCAGTTTCAAAATTAATAAAGACAAAAACAAAAATGCTGGTTAAAAATAAAAATATCCAAGACTGAACTTCTGATGGAGAAGTCAAGTTTTAAGGTGGAGGAAAGAGTTAAAGACCCTGGGGTGATGCTTACAAATACAAATTCTAAATTGTTCCAAAACAACTTGGAACATTCATGAAAATCAGGTGTACCATAGATTGAGATTCTCCAGCCAGGTTTTCAACTCTTATAGCAGCCATGACTCCAAGTCATAGAAAGAGAGATGGAAATGATCTTTTGAGAGAACATGGCGGTATCAAGATGATTTGTTCCTTCGGTAGCTGTATGTAGGACCCTGCATAGGAATCAAGTATAAGCCATGAGTACTGCTGATATACTGCCTTCCTCACTGACCATGCCTTTGACCTCATTGTCCTGATATTGGTAAATTCATCCATGCATCTTATATTCAAAAACATCAATCTCTATGTAATCAGAGCAGGGTCTAAGTGACCTAGAAATTCATGGGCCCCCAAGACAAAACCAAGAAGTTATCATGATGCTAACTCACACTGAGAGCCAACACACATTTGGTCCACTTTTTTCTCAGCTAGCATGGGATCTGAAGATCAAGGACATTCACTCAGTCATGGTGAGATCACTTTCCATATGCCAGGAACTTGCTGCTACCACCCACCACTCTGTTTAGGTAGTATCATCTGCCAAATGTCCCAGAAGCCTGGCAGCCCCCTCCACTGGGTACCTATTCAATCTCTTGAATACAAAGGGAACAAAGGTACTGATCAGAATTAACCCCAAGGGACCGCTCTCTTTGCACTGATTTAGGGGAAGATTTTGAATAATCAAAGAATTCTGGGTGAGGAATTGCCAGAAAAGACAGCTAGAGCAATATTGGCAAAAAAAAAAAAGGTCTTCTTTAGGGAAAGTTATATGTAAAGTAATAAGACTGTAATCAGAGAGGGCTCTAGATGATCCAGTCTACATTCAGGCCTGAGATTAAAAATGAACTGGTTACTCTTGGGGATGTTCTGCCCTGGGATGTGGATGGGAGGCACAACTTTCTTCATCTTCTGTTAATTCTGTCAGCAGCAATTCATCCCTTCAAGCAGGGTATCATTAAGGACTATCTATGAAGTTTGATCTGGCTGGGGAAAGTGAAGCCCACAGCAGTAGGTTTTATTGGCATCCAGAAAGAAACAAAGGTTAATGTCCATGGTTAGAAAGAAACAAAGGTTAATGTCCATGGTTAGAAAGAAACAAAGGTTAATGTCCAAACAAGCTTAATGTCCATGGAGTTTCTCAATCATCCAGATCATGGTTATTCCAGAAGTGCTTTATTCCAAAAGGCAACTGGACTTTCTTGAGTTTTTTTTATTTGCAAACTTTTCACTTCTCATTCAAGAAGCTTCTTCAGTTCTAATTGACTGGTGGGGAATGGAAAGATTTATATTCTTTGCAATCATCCGAACATTAGCTCTCTGAGAGTTGCTTTTTAGCTAATGAAGAAAGTCCAGTTGCTTTTTGGGAAAAAAGCACCTTTGGGACATAACAAGCTTTAGTTAGCACATTTTTCACCCACATACTCCTAGTCTTTGGTTGACCTAGTTGGGTATGTTGTATGAACCCAACGATAGGTTGAAGAAGTTTCAGTATTGAGTAAATAGAAGAAAATGCAATATTAAGTGAATAAGAAACATTTATCATACTGAATAGCTACTCTATAATCATTTTATCCTTTTTATAGTGTTTACGTTTAAGCCTTTGTGGGAATAGCACACAGTTTGTAAGGGTGTGGATTCATTGTCGCTTTTACAATAGGGGCTTCATTGAGTACTTTTACTCCTGCAGGCAACCGGAAGCTGAAGGCCTTCAACAGGCTGGTCAGAAAGATGAAGATCTCAATTCTTGCCAGCAGCTCTCCCATGCATACGCGTTCACCTGTAGATGATAAAAGCATGCATCAAGGGAGTCATAATCAGTTCTCTAGAGTATTTCCCATCAGGAAGGAAATCTGAAAGGATTTGTAATGGATGAAATAGATTTTCATGTTGAACCCTGGTATCTTCTAGCAGATTCAATTCCTAGTGCTATCTATTCCTTTTTATTCTGTTTATTGACACTACCTGGGGGTAGGGGATCCCTTTCTTCCTGGCCCCCACAGAGTAATTGTTCCTGTGGCATTGGACTACCTTTGATGTCTTTCTCCTCTGAGATTTAAATATTTGTGTTTACATTGTCAGTTCAGAAATAAGATAATTAAGCACCTGGAGACGAAAACATATGAAGAATGGTTGCAGGAATTGGGTATGGCCAGTATAGAGAAAAGAAGGATTAGGAGTGACATGATAGCAGTATTCCAGTATTTGAGAGGCTGCCACAAAGAAGAGGGGTTCCACCTATTCTCCAAAGCACCTGAAGGCAGGAAACAATGGATGGAAACTAATCAAGGAGAGAAGCAACCTAGAACTAAAGAGAATCTTCCTAACAGTGAGGACAATTAACCAGTAGAACAGCTTGCCTTTAAAAATTGTGGGTGCTTCACCACTAGAGATTTTTCAGAAAAGACTGGACAGGCACCTATCTGAAAGGGTATAGACTCTCCTGCTTGAGCAGACATTTGGACTAGAAGACCTCCAAGTTTCCTTCCAGCTCTATTCTGATTGAAATGGCCCAGGATGCGAGCTTTTCTGTGATTGCCATGGATCTGTCCCAACTACTATTGGATCCCAGGTGAGAAAATAAATTGCCAGAATATTGATGTGGGGGGAGATCATTCCCCTGCCTCCATCAGTTACTTTCAGTTCATTGACCATGCATCTCTCTGGTCCATCAGTTGGAGTTGGGCTTTAGGGGCACAGTAGTTCCAGTCCTTCCTGTTGGACTATGCCTAGAAATAGAAATAGAAATAATAGAAATAGAAATAGAAATAGAAATAGAAATAGAAATAGAAATAGAAATAGAAATAGAAATAGAAATAGAAATAGAAATAGAAATAGAGCTGGAAGGGACCTTGGAGGTATTCCAGTCTAGCCCCCTGCTTGAGCAGGAGAACCTATGCCATCTCAGACAGGTGATTGTCTAATGTCTTCTTAAAAATTTCCAGTGATGGAGCGCCCACGATTTCTTGGGGTAAGCTGTTCCACTGGTTGATTGCCATCACTGTCAGGAATTTTCTCCTTAATTCCAGGTTGCTTCTCTCTTTCATCAGTTTCCAACCATTGTTTCTCGTCCTTCTCTCTGGTGCTTTGGTGAACAACCTAGACCCCTAGCCCCTCAGATACTGGAACACTGCTATCATGTTTCCCCTGTTTCTTCATTTCTTTAGACAAGCCAGACCCAAGTCCCACAGCCGTTCTTCATATGTTTTAGCCTCCAGGCCTTTGATCATCTTAGTTGCTCTTCTCTGAATTTTTTCCAAACTCTCAACATCTTTTTTATGATATGGTGACCAAAATTGGCTGCAGTATTCTAGGTGTGGTCTTACTAGGACTTTGTAAAGTGGTACTAGTGCTTTGCATGATCTTGACTCTTTGCCTCTGTTTATACAACCCAGGATTGTATTAGCTTTTTTGATTGCTGCTGCACACTGCTGGCTCATATAGTCAAGTGATCGTCCACTAGGACTCCAAGGTCTCTCTCACAGTTACTGTTTTTAAGCCAGTCTCATCCATTATGTATTTGTGCCTTTGGTTTTTCCTGCCTAAGTGTAAGACTTTGCTTTTCTCCACGTTGAAACTTATTTTGTTGGATAGGGTCTATTGTTTGAGTTTGTCAAGATCTTTTTGGATCCTGAGTTTGTCTTCTGAGGTGCTGGCTACTCCTGACAATTTGGTGTCATCTGCAAAGTTCTCCTTCAATTCCCTCATCTAAGTCATTTATGAAGATATTGAAGAGTACTGGACCTAAGATGGAACTTTGTGGTACTCCACTGCTAACCTCTCTCCATGTGGATGTAGTGCCGTTGAGGACTACTCGTTGAGTACGGTTTGTCAGCCAGCTACAGATCCTTCTGGTTGTCTATTCCACCTTTTTCTAGCTGATTCCACAGGATTATGTACAAAAGGTGATTTTCAGGGATTACTGCTTTGATTATTGATGCTGGTTGAGCAGATCATGGAAGTGGAGCAACATCAGTATGGCAGAACTCCCATGTTTAATATTTCCTACCACAAAAGATAGGGAGAGAGAAACTCAGTTTGATTTCTAGCTCTCCTTGCTTAAAACCCCTTCAGATGACTTTTAGCTGCCTGGGGAATTTCTGTGGAGATTCTCAGTCATCCACATTATGGTTATCTCAAAGGTGCTTTTTCAAAAAGCAACCGGACTTTGTTTTTTCTTTGAAAATTTTTTGCTTCTCATCCAAGACGATTCTTCAGTTCTGACTAAATGGTGGAAGATGGAAGGATTTGCTGCAAGGGATATAATAACTCCGTGGTCCAGATCCATCAGCAAGAAGCTACAGTTAAGCAAGTGTTCTTTGGATTTAGCTAATAATTCTCCCTAAGCACTAGAGATAACTGTACAGTCTTGACCATATATTACAAACCTCGAATAGTAAAATTACAGTCTAACTATTTCTTCATTGTTCAAAGTTTATAGCCCAAGAAAGTTCAGACTCTCTTAGTTTTGAAACTAGAAGGAATAAGGATCCCTTAGTTTACTGGTTCAGACCATGATGACCTCAGAACAACTCAGGGATGGGAAGGGTGAGAATCTATAAGTTATAAGCTGTTTGGGTTCATGGATGTACCTATTCCGAATGGCAGAAACTCTTCCCGTTCAATGAACTTCCCATCCTTATCTAAAAAGTGATTTGGGTTGAATTCTTCAGGTGTCTCCCATTGTTCTGGATCAAGAAGAACAGAGCGCAGGTCTGCCATAATCATGGTCCTCTATAAACAAAGAGATGATTGAACAGGTTTTTAAAAAGTACAAACCATATTGATGAAGCATTTGGTTTTAGCTTGCTTTTATGAACCCATATTTGTTCATTTCCATAGCAGTTTTAGAGAGCAGTAGCTGCTCTACTGTTTAGCATCCTTTCTTCCATCCATTCCATTAAAACAGAGAGCTGGGTGTATATTTATCACATCCGATTGCCCCAAGAAATGGACAAAGAAACATGCCCAGATGCGACTACAATTCTGAATTTAAGTTCAGCTCTTAATCACTTCCCACCTTCCTAGAATAAATAGAAAAATTTATGGTTCTAGCTTCAATATCTGAGGTGTTTGGATTTAAAATCATAGTCCATCCTTCAAAAAAGATTGCTATTCTTGGTTATTCAATTTTGCATGATTACATTGGCAGTTTCTGAGCAGAGAGCTTCTGTCATATTCTGCTTTTCCCTCCCTACTGGACTACTGCAATACAGTCTGAACATGTTTCTCACCTTTGGAATGTGGTAACCCTTCATCTTCACATCCTTTGTACTTTGCCTGGGAGCCCCAGCTACAAAGACATATTTTACACGCTGAATTTCATGAATCACAGCATTGGTGTAGGGCAGCTTCTTCCGATCCTGATAGGAAATTGACCGTGAGAAGCCAAACACATCTTCAATCTCTTTCTGGACTTTCTCTAGAAAAAAATGATGGAAATGTTATTTTATTCATTCAACCCTGTTGCCCCCAATGTTCTTCAGAGGATCTGACCTTCTTCAAGTTATTGCCAGCTTCTGGGCTCCAATTCCAGATTTGTAGCCCCATTTGGACCTCCAATGCCAGTTGCCATCTCATTGGCCTTTATGCCGTTACTTGCACCAGACCACCTTACAGAGGGCTCCAAATCCATGTCTGATCTCTGGGCATTGCACTGCTCCCGCTAGCCTCTTATCTCTGATCTGGGCCATGTACTTCACTGCAAGGCCCCTGTTGACTCTTTTGGCCAGGTCTTGCTTTCAATCCCTGCTTTCTTGGCTGCAGCTCCAACTCTCAAGTTGGCTCTTCACTATGCCTCCACCAGCTTTTCACCATCAGCATACACTCTCCACCTTGGCTTCCAGGGCTGCAACCCTTTCAGACTGGCACTGGGTTAGACTCAACCTTGGCTCTCCACCTCCTACCAGTCCCTCATTATGCTGCCCCACTCACACACAAATGCTTAGAATGGAAAGTTCATGGACACATTGTTCCAGCAACACCCATTACTTTGCATGGGATTAAATAGGAAATGCCAGTAGAGCCTGTCCCGATGAGGAGATTGCCTCATCATGAAAAACGTGGCTGACCAGTGTTCCACCTGTCTACTCTCAACCATTTGCATCCTTAGATTTGGAGGAGGTATGGACTCCATCTCCTCATCCTCACTGACTGCCAGCATTTGCTCACGTTCCCCACCTAGATCCTCCAGGCTCACCTGGGGCAACTGCGGCTCCCTCAGCTCTTTCTCAGTCTGCCACCCATCCGATAGTGCTGGCAGTGGATGCCCTGTCAGTCTGGGGCCCTTCACTCCCTGATCCACCTCTCTCTGCACTACATCCCCCTTTTTCCAAAAGTGTCAGGACCCGGCTCCTCCTCCTGCCCCTCCTCTTCTGAACTCATGTCTGGAGAGCGGTCTTAAGGAGGGTCCATTACACTCATCCTGGTTGTGTCCCTCTGTGTTGCAGACAATGATCCTAGAATGACTCTGCCACCTCCACCCCAGATCTATTTCCAGGGTCTGCACTGATTGGCAAGGTGAGCATACAAGCTTTGGCTGCTTCCTGACTCTGGACCCACCCCCTATCTTTGCCATGCCATCCTAGTTCAGTCCCTTTAGCCTCCAATTTCCAGTCAAGTAGAAGGCCAGAAAGTAACAGAGCAGAAGAAGGTAGAGTTTAGGAGAAGATTGATGGATTCATTTGATGCTCTGAGTGACAAGAAACCACCCACCATTCTCCCATCTCTTCTCTTCAGGGCAGGAAGCCTTGCGCTGTATATCTGCTCATCCCGCCATTTTGATTTTTTTCTATGTTAATTATCATACTGAAATTTGATCTTCTATATGTAATTTAGGCCCAAAATCAGTAACAAATCTGAAAACCATGGTAGATTTCTGCATTGAAAGAGTTAAATGTTTCACATTTGTACTTATTTCCCATTTTTAGTTCCTCATGGAATATTTTATTGAGGATTTAAAGAAGGCTCCCTGTTTATTTATTTAGCATATGACAGGCTCTCAGTATGTACATTCTTTGTTTTCCTTTAATCCCGCTAACTTCATACTCCTGCTTATAGAATCAAGAATCTACAAAGGAAAATTATTGTGAAGAATAGATTTCAAATAAATTCTGTGTATTTTAAAACCTGAGAGTGACTCTTGATCCACTAGCCATGTCTGTCTCACCTTGGATGTCGGGATGATTGGTCAAGAGTAGCAGTGCCCACTTCAGAGTAATCAAGCTTGTCTCTGTTCCAGCACCGAAAAAATCAAAAATACACTGAGCCAGGTTCTCTTCATTGTAGGTAGAGTTGGAGTCATTTCTACTCTGATAAAATGGGAAATAAATATTATGATGAATTCTACCCACCTTCTCTGTAGTTATTTTTGCTTCTTTATCTCAAGTCTAGAGAATAAATACATCCCTAGGGGTTGTAGTGGAAAACCAATGAAGGAGAGTAATAATTAAAGTGGTAGATTCATACTGAGTAAGACACTATCTTATAGTAACCAAGACCAAAGAAAGGCCCAGCTTTTAAAGAACTTTAATGCATTTTGTTTTAATTTATAATTGATTTGCTTCAGTAAATGTTTGCATATGGAACTGTGATTAATCAGTGCTTACTAGAGTGAATCACAAAATTTCAGAAGCAGCACTACTAGAATTACTGCATGCATTCTTGCATTTAAAATTATGCTCAAATTGATGAATATGACTACTCTAACTACCAGATTTTGTGGCTATTATGCCACGCCATGACAGTTTAAGCAATTTTTAGAATACGGGTAATCCTAGACTTATAATCATTCATTTGGTGATAATTCAAATGGAAAATGAAAATTACAATAAATTCTATGCAGCTGTTTTGTAATTATTTTTGCTTCTGTGTCACAAATCATGAGAATAAATATATTCTGGATGGTTATATAGGAAAACCAATGCAGGAGAGTAATAATTATAGTGGTAGATTCATACTGAGTAAGACAATATCTTATAGTAGCCAAGACCACTGCACCACCATGGCTCTTTTCTTTTAATGTATGCTTCCTGGAGTGAACCACAAAAATTTAGAAGCAGCATTACTTGCATGCATTCTAATTTAAAGTTATGTCCAAAATAATGTATATGATTGCTCTAATGACAAGATTTTGTGGCTTTTTTTATGCCAGACCCATGGCAATTTATGCAATTTTTAGAATACAGATAGTCCTCGACCTACAATCATTCGTTTGGTGGTTGTTCAAAGTTTCAGTGGCACTGAAAAAAGTGACTTATAACAGGTTTTCATACTATTTAGGTATCTGCATGGTGTTAAACTTGATTCGAGTCTTGGTTAATCTAAAGAGCTGGGAGATTCTTTTGTTGAATGTGCCAAATGGGACAGCTGACCCATGGTCACATGATCAAAACACAGGTGCTTGCCAGCCGGCATGTACTAATTGCACTGTCCTGGGGTCCTGTGATCATCATTCGCAACCTTCCCAGCTGGCCTCTGACAAGCAAAGTCAATGGGGGAAGCCAGATTTGTGTAACAATCACAGGATTTACCTCACCACTGCAATGATTCAGTAAACAACTGTAAAAAGAAAGGTTGTAAAATGGGGCAGAAATCATTTAACAACTGCCTTGCTTAGCAATAAAAAAAATTTGGCCTCAGCTGTTGTTGCAAGATTCTTGTGAGACAACATAAACCTTGCACCAAACCAGTGCAACTTTGTGAAGAATCATAAGATGACTGACAGAATACAGCCCATCCGCAATTTGAGAAACAAACCACCATAAACAAGGCAAACAAGACAGGATGACAAATGGAAACATTTCTAACTTCCCCCACAAAGAATGTCCTGTTGTTTAAAATATAAATTATTGCAGCCTTTTTCTTATTTTTTTTATGATAACACAGGAGCATAAACATCTGACAGTGGTTTGTTAAAAGAACTGTAATTTAATATACCATATGAAACAACAATATTCAGGGAGCATACAGAATACAAGATAGTCAGTTATATTCAAACAGTTGAAGAGAGTTAAAGATTCCAACTGTCATTCCCCTCAGACACAGTCTCTTAAAGGGATATTACCCTCAAAATACTCTGCTGACTCATTCTCTATATATCACTTCTGCCAGTCAGCTACTAAATTATAATTACCTTGACATGTCCCACATCTAACTAGAGTCTAATATTGCAGAGTTGCATTATAGCTCTTATTCAGATGCAAACAGAATTTAGCATGGCCTAAATTTGGAGTGGGAGCTGAATTTTAAAAAAACCTTCCAAAGAAGACAGTTCCAGTAGCTCCCCTTGTTTAATTATAGCAAGGAATGTTATAATACCTTGCTTATGTGTTGAACTACATAGAACTCATTTTAGAAGAGAAATTAAAATGATCAAAGGCCTGGAAACTAAAACATATGAAGAACAGCTGCAGGACTTGGGTTTGGCTAGTCTAAAGAAAAGAAGAAATAGGGAAGACATGATAGCAGTGTTCCAGTATTTGAGGGGCTGCCACAAAGAAGAGGGGGTCAAACTATTCTCCAAAGCACCAGAGAGAAGGACAAGAAACAACGGTTGGAAACTGACCAAAGAGAGAAGCAACCTGGAATTAAGGAGAAACTTACTGATAGTGAAGACAATCAACCAGTGGAATAGCTTGCCTCCAGAAATCGTGGGCTCTCCATCACTGGAGATTTTGAAAAAGAGACTAGACAGTCACTTGTCTGAAATGGTATAGGTTCTCCTGCTCGAGCAGGGGGCTGGACTAGAAGACCTCCAAGGTCCCTTCCAGCTTCTATTCTATTCTATTCTATTCTATTCTATTCTATTCTATTCTATTCTATTCCAGTCACTGAGCTAGAAAAAGCATTTGATCAAGTACCACCTGATCTATTTCCTTCCCATCCACAAATGGTCCAAACTCTCACCATTCCTCTTTGTGCTCAGTATGGACACTGTAACCAGGAACCTTCCAATGTAACACACGTGGATGCTATTATATGCTGATGTTACCATGATGGAAAGTCAAACATGAATAACCCTCAGACCATTAATAAAACAGTGGAAAACTGCTTTAATGGTATAGCAATGAGGGACAGTATTAAGAAGACTATACATCTTGAATGTGGGGGCCATACCAATGGTACATGACTGATGATGTCAGATTGTAAATAAAGGCGGCCAGTGCAAAATAACTTCAAATCAATAAAAGATGCTTCTAAAAATAATCAAATATATGAAAATATTAGAGAGGAGGACCTTTTTTTCCTTGTTTCAAACTGTTTTACTTTTTTTACTGATGGTCAAAGGCTGTAAAAGTATCTGTCCTTTACCGAACATTTCAGGGAAAGTATTCTTTTAAGTATGAATTAATCAAGAGTCCCTATTAATTCTTTTTCTTCTTAATGGAATTACTTTAGAAAAAAGAGAAAGAAGTGATGGGCAAACATGTGACAATGACAAATGATAATGAATCTAATTTATCCACAAAGAACCTCCCTTGTCTAATAAGAGTTTAAGATTGCAGAGGTACAATATAGCTCTTATTTAGAAGCTACCTCAATTAACATGGGCAAAATTCAGAATAGGAGCTAGATGAAAAAGAAATAACTCCGCTACCTCTAGCTCCTCATCTTTACGTATAGTGAGAAATATAATAATTCCTTTCCCAGGAATTGAACTACAATCAACCCATACCTTCTCCATCTGAAGTAGATAGTGATCAATGAAATCTTGTGGTTCATGCAGAGAGCTGGATTCCTTGTGTTTCTCTATTTCCTGCTTTGCAAAGGAAGTGATCACCTCCATAGAAGCCAACCCATCCTTGTGAGGGCCCGGGACATACTTCATTAATTGTGGGAACGCAATGTTCATCTAATAGAAATGGAAAAGGAAAAGTTTGTTTATTTATTCCCCACTACAACAAAAGAAGACTCTTAGCAGCTCACAGTGATAGACAGCACTGAATAACCAAAGAAAAACATTGCAAGCACATTGAAACATGGCAAACAAGGCATTGGTGTCAAACCTCAAAAGTCCTCCAGAAAAGCTGTTTCCAAATTCTTGTACAAAAGAATGATAGAAACAGATTGTCTTAGTTGTTCATCTCTGCACTCTTTCCAGAGTTTTCATGGTCACCAAGACTGGATGCAATAATGCAAGTGTGCATTATTAAGCCACACTAACCCTTCACATGATCTTGATTCTATCCTTCTGTTAATACAGCCTAGGACTGTATTGGCTTTTTTGGTGGCTGCAGTAAAAGAAGTTCTAGAAGTCATGACTAACTCAAGAACAGACACACCTACTGGGGAATAATACTACAATAGATGATTTCCAAAGCTTCCTCCACGGATTCCATTCATGGTTACATGAAAATACTGATAGAAACATAGGTTTTGAGGGAGCTTTAATATAAAACATGACTCACCGCTTGAAAAAAGCCACCAGTATATTTCACAACAGTTTCAAGGGCTTGAATTAACTTCTGGAAGTTTTCGTCTTCAGGACCAAACTGATGTCCAAAACTCAAAGCACATATGACATTAGAAACTGCATTTATTACTGGAAATGAAGGGTCAAATGGCTGTCCTGCAAGTGAAGGAATTTTATAATGAATTTTTAAGGAACAGAGCTTGTAAGGGGATGAAGGAACAAAATTGGGACCTCTGCCAATTGTTTCAAAAGGTAAAAAAAAATCAAATCAAATACATCTGTTATTGTTTGAATTATGCAGAATGGAAAAAAATTCTGCAGACAGAGACTTGAGGCATTACCCCAAACTGCATACCTTTTGTTTGTCTAAAGCTCTCCACCAATGTCTGAGCAACTTCTTCTATTCTATGCTCAATGCTTTTCTTCCCCAGGCCCAGCTTCCGCAGAGAAGTGATGCCGATGTGCCGCTGCTGTTTCCAGGTGTGACCATTGGAAATAATAATTCCTGTGGGCATCAGCAGACAATGATAAGTTATTCCTGAGGACATTCATGTTAAAAAAAACAGTTAAGTCTGGTCCTTGTGGAATATGTCTCTGGATTTTAGATAGGAATACCAAACCTTTGTGACATGTCGCCATTTTGCAATATTCCAGCTATGTTATCTTTTATTCCAAAAATATTCATTCGTTTTGGGAGTCACATAGACGCTAGGAGGCACATGTGATATGGTGACCACTGATGTAATGTTTGTCAGCCTCTGTCTTATATGAGGGACATCAGAAGCTTCTAAGATGATGTAAACATTCACGTACGAGAACCTATGTTATAGGCACAAGAGACAGGATCTTCTCAGGGGTGGCAGAATCCATCTACAATAGGGGTCTTCAAACTTGGCCCTTTTATGACTTGTGGACTTCAACTCCCAGAATTCCTCAGCCAGGCACGCCTCCTCCTACAAGATTGAAACTAATCAGCAAAATAGCTGAATGGCTTTTTTATTCCCCAAGTTTAATCAAGTTACCAATAAAGAAGTATATTTGTAGCTCAGGGTTGAAATGAGAGGTCCTTGTGCTCTCTGAGCTTGAGTATTTTCTTGCAGGCTTTTCATTACTCAAACTAGGTTACATCATCAGTGCTGATGATCAAGTTACAATTGTGTTTCTCTGCCAAGGATTAAGTACAATGTTTTAAATTATTTTATGTAAGCCATCAATAAATGAACAATTATAATCGAAGCTTACTTAAAGCTTACTATATTGTGAGCCAGCAAATGATAGTATTACGTATTTTAGCATAAGTGATAACAAATGACCAATAGTTTATTTAAAAAACCCTTCAAATTAAGGAGTTGAGAATAATATATTTCAAAGATAAGTGCAAGACGTTAGGGTAGAAAATAAATGAATAAATGAAATAATAGGTTTAATATGTATAAACAAATTAAGAAAATGTCTAAACAAGTGTATGACATTGTTGAGTCTTTGTGAAATTAATAAATGTCCAGAATCCTTATATTAAAAAAAGACTCAGAACAATCTTCAGGGCAGTAAACCACGAATGGCTGATTTTCAGGATGAAATATTTGAATGCAGGATGTCAGAGAAAACATTGCAAATGTTGAGATCAACCAATCAGAATAGAGCTGGAAGGGACCTTGGAGATCTTCTAGTCCAACCCCCTGCTCAAGCAGGACCATACCATTTCAGACAGTCTTAAAAAAATTCCAGCGATGAAGTACCTACAACTTCTGAAGGCAAGCTATTCAACTGGTTAATTTTTCCCATTCTTAAAAAGTTTCTCCTTAATTCAAGGTTGCTTCTGTCTTTGATTAGTTTCCATCCATTGTTTTTTGTCCTGCCTTCTGGTGCTTTGGAAAATAAGTTGATCCCCCCTCTTCTTTGTGGCAGCCCCTCAACTACTAGAATACACCTATCATGTCACCTGCTAGCCCTTCTTTTCTCTAGATTAGCCATTCCCAATTCCTGCAACCGTTCTTCCTATATTTTTGTCTCCAGACCTTTAATCATGTTAGTTGCTCTTTTTTTTCCCCAAAATCTCAACATCTTTTTTATAACGTGGTGACCAAAACTGGATGTATATTCCAGATGTGATCTTACTTTATAAAGCAGTACTAATACTTCATGTAATTTTGATTCTGTGTCTTTGTTTATACAACCAAGGATTGTACTAGCTTTTTTGGCTGCTGCCACACACTGCTGGCTCATATTTAAATCTACTACTGTAGACTTAAGGTCCAAGGTCCCTCTCACAGTTACTGTTTTTGAGCCAGGTTTCACCTAATGTGTACTTATACCTTGGTTTTTCCTGTCTAGATGTAAAACCTTGCTTTTCTCCACATTAACAGAGCAATGGAGGTGATTGATTGAGTAATAACAGATCCCACCTTGTGGTACCCCACTGCTTACTTCTCTCCATGTGGATGTAGTGTTGTTATCCTGAGTTTAAGTAAAATCATTAAAGCTGCTGATTTTATTCCAATTTTAGAAATGTTATTAGCTTAGAATAGATCCCAATTATATTTAATTCTTGTACATAGAAAATACTGAAAGCTTATGATTATTTATGTGGGGAGTCAGTACGAAAGTAGGGGTTTTAGGTGGGTTGGTCACATACAGAGAATTGGTTAAAATCAAATTTGCAAAATTTGAAGAAAGTGGCAAAATTGAAAGATGACTCAAAAAGAAAGGACTAAAGAGATAAAGGAAGACTGAGACAGTTTTAGTTGAATGGGGATGTTGAGAGCCTCATAAAACAGAGTTGGCTGTTTAGTGAAAAAGAAGTAATGTCTAAGAATGTATAAATGTAATGAACCAGATAGAATGCAATGGTGATGTATAATAATCTGATACAAAGTGGACTATAGCAATATTTTTTTGCTTATCTCATGCCATTAAGTCATTTTGTTAACTATCCCTTACTTCCCCCCCCCCCATGCTATCCATAATATCAACCCAAATAATAATAGTGTGGTACTTATTTCGTTAGAATGCAATTTCTTACTACTTGCACTTACCCCTTCCTTTCTCTGAAGCAGTTAAGAATGCATTCTGTGGTCGATCAGAGAATTCTTCTGGGAAGCTGGTCATTCCTTCTTTCACAGCTTTGAATCCAGACAGCACTACTAGAAGGTGATGTCCAATCCATATGGAGTATATATTTCCATATCGTTTTGCAGGCTGCCAAGTGAATCAAAATTGAGAAATGATACAGTCAAATAGAACAGATTATTTATAATTAATTTGCCACTTACACTCTTTCCTAAGTCCTTAATTCTAAGATATTTCACCATATGAAATTATCTGCTCTTTAGAAACTTATTTTTCTCTAAGATTCCTGCCAAGAACTTTTGTTCTTGTGCTTCATCTATTTTCCTAGGATGTTCCTTTTCTCTATGTTTCTACTTGAAATCCATCATCTCTTATCTGCTTGCTCCATTCCCCCTTGTCTCGGATGAGAGATGGTCTTCTTATTGGGTCTATGACAACTCGCCTTGCCAACTTGCCACTAGACAACTCACCACGGCCAATTTGCTGCAGGACAACTTGCCATAGGACAAGAAATTGAAGAAATAGTCTAATAGAATCATTAAAGAAAGGATGCCCATGTGAATGACAAAAAATAGAATATTTTTTTAAAGTATGTTAAATAATTAAATTTAATTGTTGAATTGTCCTGTGGCAAATTGTCCCATCGAGAATTAGCCATGATGAGTTGGCCCATGGTAAGTTGGCCATGACAAGTTTGCCATGGAAGTCAGCTGAGGCAAATTGTCCCATTCCCCTTCTCACTGCCCAATCCTCCTGTGACGGACAGATATGCGAGCCACAGCTTGTCTATGAGTCACATCTTTTGAACACTACAGTTTGGATGGTTTTCAGAGACTTTCTCAGCCTCTTTGCCTTCTACTTTTTTCGGCCATCAACTCCTCAACTTTCCAACTTCAGTTACATTGAGAGAACCTTCTAGAGATTATGAATTGTCCTGAAGCAGAGAAGAGCAACTAAAATGATCAAAGACCTGGAGACTAAAACATATGAAGAACGGCTGCAGGACTTGGGTTTGGCTAGTCTAAAGTAAAGAAGAAACAGGGGCGACATGATAGCAGTATTCCAGATTGGCCACAGGAGAAATACAATCTCCATACAAACAATTGAATAAGTTACTAAAATAATTGATCAACTTCATTTTTATGGTTCTATTTTTATTTTATTCAAAAGAACAATTAAAATACAAAACTAAAAAAAATACAAAACAAACATTTTAAAAAGTGCATTAAAAAAGAAAATAAAACTAATATGTTGAATACTGATTAATTTATTACTATAACATTAATTTCTCACCAATTGCAAAACAGGTTCCCAAAATTTTTAAACTACTAAATCTATTTACAAATTATTGACCTGTCATCTTCATACTTTATTAATGACAAAACAGTTAACAAGAACAAACTGTTATTGTAATCAACTCATAAACAATTTACCATGGCATCTTATCTATCCCAAATCATCCCATGAGTTAATAGTGATTCATCCTAGATTAAATATCCATATTTATTTCTTAATACCATCTTTTATCAATTGTTGTCTGATTAAATATAATAAATTCAATCTCCAAAGTTAATCTTCCCAAAGAGATTCCAGATGAAATTGTTTTCCAATTAAGTATGATAAACCCATTCCCCAATCTCCTTCAATTCTCCTAGGGAAAACATTTTTTTTTACTTCTCCACTCAGTTAGGTTTCTCCTTTTATAAAAAATTCAGGCTTGAACTTCATGGAGGTGTGTGCAATCAACTCAGTTATTTCTAAACCTGTAGAGTCCATATTTCTGTCCAATGAATCTGCTGCTTTCAAATCACATTCTTTTTGTGTATCTAATTTATCCATAGCTATATGCATCTGAATATTTTCCACACCAGTTATCATTTCATCAAAGTTTTTAAAAAGGCTTTCAACTAGGGATTCCATGTTGCCAATTTTCTTTTTAGATATCAGACAGATTTGCTTGTCTGTAATCTGGTAAATTGTTGTTCTGAAACTTAGCAATGGTAGATAAGATAACACAGGAAACAAAAAAAATGCTGAAGGAAAGTGAGGAAATAGATAATAAAACAGGGAAATATTTTCTGGATATTTTGATCCAAAAATTAAAAGGAAAATTAAAAAAAATCTCCAAATATTTTGCAAATTAATAAAATGCAAAAATCCTGTAGTGAAAGTCCTATATACTTGTAATTCAAATGAAAGCACTTTCCCAATCCATGAACACACTATATTTTCCTTCAGGAAAGCAAACCTTATTCAAAACAACCACATAAATCAAAGGGAAAAAAGAAAAAAAAGAACAGATACAGTCCAGCAGGAGATTAAAATAAATCAATATTCAGCCAACTTCTAAAGATAAAAGGCAAAGTGAAACAAAAGATTCAAAAAGTGAAATTAAAACCCAGGCATGCTTAAGAAAACTAAACTGCTGATAGGATGATGAATGACCAGTGACTTTTCTAACCGAGTCCACAGGGAACTGGAATTTTCAAGAGTCCCCTTCCCAGGTGGGTCCATGGGTGTCCAAAAGCTGTCTTCAATCATTCCTAAGTGCTCTCATTCAAATCCAGGGAGCAGCACTGCCAAGAACCAGTTTTGGCAGCAAAATCAGCAGATCGTCATCAGGAAAAAGAAAAATTAATACCATTCAGCAGCCATCTTGAGGAGAAAATGCTTCCTTGTGATATATGACTCATGCAGATAGTGGAAATAAATGTTAGTCTAGAACTCAGATCCAGAAATCTTTTGAAGTTATTATGGAATTGCAGAAGTAGAAGGAGCTATTTAGGCTATAAAGTTCCACCTATTGTCCACCTCAGGTATATAGAATAAAACATCTTCAACAGGAGAATGTATAGCTTCATTTGAACAAATGAACAAAATGAAGTGGAACCTACTCTCTCTATGAAGAATTGGTTCCATTATCAAACATTTCTTGGTAAGATTGAACTAGAATCTGCCTTCTAAAAATTCAGCCCCATTATTTCACATTGTTCTCTGTCAAGCAGCTATAAGTAAAATCTTCCATGAATATTCTGGCATGATGAGGAAAATAACTAATCAAATGTCATCAATAGCACTTGAAGAAATGTATTCCTCATTGTGTGGGAACATTTCACTAGATTTATCCATAATTTTGATATACTGTAAAGAAAACAATTGAGCATTATCTTGTGTATTACTGGTTAGAATCAAATACCTTAAGGAAGTAATCTTCATGAAATGAAATCCCGTTTGCCAAGGCAGTCCCAATGAGAGGTAGAGCCAAAGGACCAGGAGGCAAATGTCTTTTGGACCAGAGTTGTTTCAGGAAGAGGAGAATCAGCAGAGAAAGCAGCAAAACAAACAAAAATGTCACTATCACCATTGTTGTCCTGCTGGTTTCTTTTTTCTTTGATGCTCACTGATGGATCTGAAGAAGGTTGTATGCTTTTGTCTGATGTTTTTTTTTCTTCCTGTTTTATATGCTCCATTGATGGAAAACAAATAGCAACTTATCTTTTAATGCTCTCTCATTAGTGATGGAACTTCGTCAAGAAGATATTATCACATTAATTCAGGTTAATGAGGTTATCTCTGACCATGTGCTACACAAATAACAGAGGAAGAGATTTTTTTTTAAAAAAAAATCAAGGGCTGTGTAATCCATTTTATCCCAAACATTGCAGTATGCCAAAATTATTTTAAAATCATAGTGTATCACATGTCCTTGAAATCTATCTGAATACAAAGGAGAATCTTATTGGGCCACAGAGTTTTATCTACTCCAGGATTATATATCATACATACCTTTGCAAGCCCAGCATCAGGACATTATCATGAAAGATCGTGCTCAACTTTGCTTACAAATAAGGGAATGTCTTCATGAAGGCTTCATATTGTTGAGAACGATCTCTGGTGCTGTGCAGCCTTTTGCAACTAAAACAAGTATAACCACTATACTAATAAAGAAGGGCTGTTGTAATAGATTCTGCAGCAGCTGTTATTGTTTGAAAGTTGTCCTACATCCAAGCAGCAAATTATAGGTAGCTAGCTACAGGTGTTTAGAAATTCCTACATTCAAATGATGTCACCAATCAGCTGCCTAACTCATGACCACATCCGAAAGTGATTCATGCTAAAGTTTTAGCAGCAACAATTGCCCAGCTCTGAAGTATCATTAAACCTAATAGTGTTCATGTGGCTTGAGTAGGACTTAGTTATCATTTGTGATATTGTGTTTTGCTTTACAGTCCAATATTGTTTTTTATTCTTTTTATTCCTTACAACTAAATTATTGGTTGCCATGATGTATCCCATGTATCTCATTCTGAACATAGCCTGAAAGGTGAATCTTTTGAAGAACTTTTTTGAAGCTCACATCTATCCTTGTTCCTGAGCTCCAGATGCTTTCTTTTTCTCCTTGGATACGGAGCAGAACTCTAAGAATGACTCAAGTTTCACTTGGTTCCTAGGATCATAGGACCTTTAATTGGGTAATTGGGTGCTGGACCCATGCCACAAGGATAAGTATCCCAGTTCTCTCCTTGAATTACCTTCTTGGTTGTTATTAATTTGCTTTTTCACTAAATGTATAAATTGTCCCATTTAACAAAGTGACTCTAGGTAATATGCAATATATGATGTTCTTTCCCTAATTGCTTTTGCCCCTACCCCAGTCCTTGCCATGGATTTTTTTTAAAAAGTCCCCTCCCCTCCTATTTATAGTAAGTGAAACAGTAAGAGGTATGTGAATTAATGGAATATCTTATTAAGAAAATACCAGCACTGATTTGACAGAGCATCAAAAGATGAATTGCTATTAGTTTCAAATCAACAGAGTACAGCTATCAGGAAGAAAAGCTAAAGCATCAGATAAAAGGAAACAACAGTAATGGTAACAGAAATAAGAGAGAGCATGGATTCTAGATTCCTCTCTTTATTCAAGGCATTATACACAAATTCATGCCTAAGGTACACACAGGAATGCATAGTACCCTAGCAGGGAAAATTAATACCAATAAAGGAGTCGGTCAAGGATGTATACTGGCTCCCATTTTCTCTAATCTGGAGACAGGTAATCCTTGATTTACAACCATTCATTTAGTGACCGTTCAAAGTTACTGAAAAAGAGACATAACGACTGTTTTCACATTTACAACCATTACAGCAACCTCTTGGTTGTGTGATCTAAATTTGGACACTTGGCAACTGGCATCTATTTATGCATCACGTAATCATCTTTTGCAACCTTCTGACAAGCAAAGTCAATAGGGAAGCCAGATTACTTAACAACTGTGTAACTAATTTAACAACTGCAGTGATTCACTTAGCAACACTGACAAGAAAGATCATAAAATGGGGCAAAACGTACTTAACAACTATCTTGCTTAGCTATGGACTACCTATAGGAATGATATCCCAAGGTGCCTCCATTTAAGCAATATGCATATCCCCAGAGTTAAACATGTACACATTCTGCTCTATGCAGATGAGGTAGTATTAATGTCATGAGTCCAGGTAGGGATGATTAGAGTGCAGCACAGGTTTAGGTCATATTGTGCACTCAATGACCTGAAGATCAGTAAGTTCAAACTTAAAGTAATTGTTTGAGGAAGAGGTGGAGTATGTATAATTGGAGCTTAGATAAGGAATGTACAAATCAAGTTAAGTCCTACCCACACACAGGACTGGGTTTCACAGAAAAGAGCAAATAGTCCCAATGATCAGTAATGGCGCAGAGCTGTGGGAACATATAAATGGCCCTTTATTTGAAATGATGCAGTCTACTTTTCTGAAATATATCATGGGGGTGGATAACTCTACACCACTTCCAGCAATAAGGATACACCCACAAACACAAATGTCTAGGAATTAAAGTATTCACCTAGAAAACATGCAAAACATATTGTGGTTGATGATCCTATCTATGGACCCAGATAGCTACCTTGCAATTGGGCTACCCATTTTTCAAATGTCTTCACAATGTGGATTCTCCATATAAATCCCAGTCCAATCTGATCTAAAGACCAAGAAAGCTGTCAAAGAGTCATTGATGCGGCTGCCCAGGATGATATTGCAGCACATAAATATCTTATACCAGCAATAATTTGAAGAAGAAGGTCAGATCCTCTGAAGAACATTGGTAGAAACAGGCTAGAATGAATAAAATAAAGTTTCTATGGTTAAACAGAACAGTTTCATAAGGGAAACAGGCAAAAAACTACAAACAATACTGATGAAGCATTTGGTTTTAGCTTGCCTTTATAGACCCATATTTGTTCATTTCCAGAGCAGTTTCAGAGAGCAGTAGCTGCTCTAGAATAGAATAGAATAGAATAGAATAGAATAGAATAGAATAGAATAGAATAGAATAGAATTTTGGAGGTCTTCTAGTCCAGCCCCCTGCTCAAGCAGGAGAACATAGAACCTATACCATTTCAGACAAGTGACTGTCTAGTCTTTTCTTAAAAACCTCCAGTGGTGGAGTGCCCATGATTTCTGAAGGCAAGTTTAATTGTCCTCACTGTTAGGAAGTTTCTCCTTAATTCCAGGTTGCTTCTCTCTTTGGTCAGTTTCCAACATTGTTTGTTGTCTTGTCCTCTGATGCTTTGGAGAATAGTTTGATGCCCTCTTCTTTGTGGCAGCCCCTCAAATACTGGAATACTGCTATCACGTTGCCCCTGTTTCTTCTTTACTTTAGACTAGCCAAACCCAAGTCCTGCAATCATTCTTCATGTTTTAGTCTCCAGGCTTTGATCATATTATTTGCTCTTCTCTGAACATTTTCCAAAAATCTCAACATCTTTTTTGTAGTATGGTGAGCAAAATTGGTTGCAGTATTCCAGGTGTGGTCTTGCTAGTGATAAGATAAAGTCTTGCTTGCTAAAGTAATACCAGGTAAGGTCTTGCTTGCTAAAGTAATATTTCACATGATCTTGATTCTATGCCTCTGTTTATACAACCCAGGATTGTATTAGCTTTTTTGGCTACTACTGCTGCACACTGCTGGCTCATATCCAAGTGATCGTCCACTAGGACTCCAAGGTCCGTCTCACAGTTACTGTTTTTTGAGCCAGGTCTCACCTAATCTGTACTTATACCTTTCTTCAGCTTCACCATATACCTTTCTTTAGCTTCCTTTCTTCCATCCCATCCATTAAAACAGAAAGCTGGGTGCATATTTATCACATCAGATTGCCCCAAGAAATCAACAAACAGACTACAATTTGAACTTAACTTCAGCCCTTAATCACTTATCATCTTCCTAGAATAAATAGAAAACATTTATGGTTCTAGCTTTAGAAGAAGTGTTTTGATTTAAATCTATAATCCATCCCCCACAAAAGTTTATTATTCTTGGTTATTCAGTTTTGCATGACTACATCGGAAGTTCCTGAATGGAGGAAAATGGAGCAAAATTCACTTAATAACTGTTTTACTCAGCAACAGAAATTTTGGACTCAACTGTGTTTGCAAGACAAAGACTACTTGTGCTAGATTCTTGTGAGACAACATTAACCTTGCACCAAACCAGTGTAACTTTGTGAAGAATTGTGGGACAACTGACACAATACTGGCCATTTGTCTAGTGATAGAGAAGCATCTTGAGAAGCAAACCACCATAAATATGTCAGTCACTGAACTAGAAAAGCATTTGAACAAGTACCACATGGGGCTGCCACAAAGAAGAGGGAGTGAAGCTATTTTCCATAGCACCTGAAGGCAGGACAAGAAGCAACGGATGGAAACTAATCAAGGAGAGAAGCAACCTAAAACTAAGGAGAAACTTCCTGACAGTGAGAACAATTAACCAGTGGAACAACCTGCCTCCAGAAGCGGTGAATGCTCCAACACTGGAAGTTTTTAAGAAGAGACTGGAGAGCCATTTGTCTGAAATGGTATAGGGTTTCCTGCCTGAGCAGGGGGTTGGACTAGATGACCTCCAAGGTCCCTTCCAACTTTATTATTATTATTATTATTATTATTATTATTATTATTATTATTATTATTATTATTATTATTATTATTATTATTATTAACTCTCAGCATTGCTCTTTGTACTCAGTATGGACACTATAACCAGGATCCTTCAATAACAACACCCATGGGTGGTATTATATGTTGATGATAGCTTGGTAGATAGTAGAACATGAAACACCTTTGAACCATTAATACGAGGGTGAAAAACCTGCCTTAGTGATTTAGGAATGAGTGCCTGTATTAAGAAGATTGTATATCTTGAATGTGGTAACCAGACCAATGCTTCACTCAAGACTGATGATGTCATATTGTAAATAAAGTTACCCAGTGCAAAGTAATTTCAAATTAATAAAAGTTGCTTCTAGAAAAAAATCAACCTTTTTCTGAAAACATTGGAGAGGAGAA